TGAAGTGTGTCTATTTTAACGCAAGAAGTGTCAGGAATAAGGGTGATGAGCTTACAGCATGGATCAGCACTTGGAACTACAATGTTGTGGCCATTGCGGAGACTTGGATAACACAGGGGCAGGAACGGTTGTTTAATGTTCCGGGGTTTAGATGTTTCAAAAGAAATAGGGAGGGAGGTAAAAGAGGTGGGGGAGTAGCATTGCTAATCAGGGATGGTATCACAGCTGCAGAAAGGGAGGTCGTGGAGGAGGGTTTGTCCACTGAGTCAGTATGGGGTGGAAGTCAGAAACAGGAAAGGAGCAGTCACTTTATTGGGAGTTTTCTATAGACCCCCCAATAGCAACAGAGACACCAAGGAACAAATTGGGAGGCAGATTTTGGAAAGATGCAGAAGTAATAGGATTGTTGTGTCCTCGGTGACTTCAACTTCCCTAATATCAACTGGAACCTCCTTAGTGCAAATAGCTTGGATGGAGTAGATTTTGTCAGGTGTGTCCAGGAAGGATTTCTGACTCAATATGTAGGTAGGCTGACTAGGGGGAGGCCATATTGGATTTGGTGCTTGGCAACGAACCAGGCCAGGTGTCAGATCTCTTGCTGGGAGAGCGTATTGGTGATACTGTTCACAACTCCCTGACCTTTACTAAAGTCATGGAGAGGGATAGGAGCAGATGGTATGGAAAAGTATTTAATTTGGGGTGGGAGAATTAGAGTGTTATTAGGCAGGAACTTTGGAGCATAAATTGGGAAACAGATGTTCTCAGGGAAATACATGACAGAAGTGTGGAAGTTTTTTAGGGAGCAGTTGCTACAAGCACTGGATAGGTTTGTCCCACTGAGGCAGGGAAAGGATGGTAAGGTGAAGGAACCTTGGATGACAAGACATGTGGAACATCTAGTCAAGAGAAAGAAGGAAGCTTACTTAAGGTCGAGGAAGCTAGGATCGGACAGGGCTGTAGACAGTTACAAGGTGGCTAGGAAAGAACTGAAGAATGGACTTAGGAGAGCTGGAAGGGGGCATGAAAAAGCCGTGGCGGGTAGGATTAAGGAAAACCCCAAGGCGTTCTATGCTTATGTGAGGAACAAGAGGATAGCCAGAGTGAGGGTAGGGCCGATCAGGGATGGTGGAGGGAACTTGTGCCTGGAGTCAGAGGAGGTAGGGGAGGTCCTTAATGAGTACTTTGCTTCAGTATTCACCAGTGAGAGGGACCTTGACGTTTGTGAGGACAGCGTGAAACAGACTGATATGCTCAAACAGGCTGATGTTAGGAAGAAGGATGTGCTCGAAATTTTGAAAAACATGAGGGTAGATAAATCCCCTGGGCTAGATGGGATATACCCAAGGTTGCTACGGGAAGTGAGGGAAGAGATTGCTGCCCCTTTGGCAATGAATTTTGTGTCCTCACTGTCGGTTGGAGTAGTACTAGATGATTGGAGGGTGGCAAATGTCTTTCCCTTGTTCAAGAAAGGGGATAGGGATAACCCTGGGAATTATAGACCGGTCAGTCTTACTTCTGTGGTGGGCAAATTATTGGACAGGATTCTGAGAGACTGGATTTATGATTATTTGGAAAAGCATAGTTTGATTAGAGATAGCATGGCTTTGTGAGGTGCAGGTCATGCCTCACAAGCCTTATTTAATTCTTAGAGGATGTGACAGAACACATTGGTGAAGGTAGAGCAGTGAATGTGGTGTATATAGATTTTAGCAAGGCATTTGATAAGGTTCCCCATGGTAGGCTCATTCAGAAAGTAAGGAGGCATAGGATTCAGGGAAATTTGGCTGTCTGGATACAAAACTGGCTGTCCAATAGAAGACAGAGGCAGAGGGTAGTAGTAGATGGAAAGTATTCAGCCTGGAGCTCGGTGACCAGTGGTGTTCCGCAGGGATCTGTTCTGGGACCTCTGCTCTTTGTGATCTTTATAAACGACTTGGATGAGGAAGTGGAAGGGTGAGTTAGTAAGTTGCCAATGACATGAATATTGGTGGAGTTGTGGATAGTGTGGAGGGCTGTTGTAGGTTACAATGGGATATTGACAGGATGCAGGACGCAGAGCTGGGCAAAGGAGTAGCAGATGGAATTCAACCCAGAAAAAAGTGTGAGGTGATTCATTTTGGAAGGTCGAATTTGAATGCAGAATACATGGTTAATGGCAGAGGTAGTAGAACTGCCGATGCTGGAGAATCTGAGATAACAAGGTGTAGAGCTGGATGAACACAGCACGCCAAGCAGCATCAGAGGAGAAGGAAAGCTGATGTTTTGGGTCTAGACCCTTCTTCAGAAATGGGGGCGGGGAAGGGGATTCTGAAATAAATAGGGAGAGAGGGGGAGGCGGTTAGAAGATGGATAAAGGAGAAGATAGGTGGAGAGGAAACAGACAGGTCAAGAAGGCGGGGTTGGAGCCAGTAAAGGTGAGTGTAGGTGGGGAGTTAGAGAGGGGATATGTCAGTATAGCGAGGACGGACAGGTCAAGGGGGCGGGATGAGGTTAGTAGGTAGGAAATGGGGGTGGGGCTTGAGGTGGGAGGAGGGGATAGGTGGGAGGAAGGACAGGTCAGGGAGGCGGAGACGAGCTGGGCTGGTTTTGGGATGCGGTCGGGGGAGGGGAGATTTTGAAGCTTGTGAAGTCCACATTGATACTATTGGGCTGCAGTGTTTCAAAACATTGGGCTGCAGGGTTTCCTGCAACCTTCGGGTGGCATCATTGTGGCACTGCAGGAGGCCCAGGATGGACATATCGGACAAGGAGTGGGAGGGGGAGTTGAAATGGTTCGCGACTGGGAGGGGTAGTTATTTGTTGCGAACGGAGCGTAGGTGTTCCACAAAGTGGTCCCCAAGCCTCTGCTTGGTTTCCCAGATGTAGAGGAGGCCACAACGGGAACAGCGGAGACAGCATACCACATTAGCAGATGTGCAGGTGAACATCTGTTTGATGTGGAAGATCTCCTAAGGGCCTGGGATGGGGGTGAGGGGGGAGGTGTAGGGGCAGGTGTAGCACTTCCTGTGGTTGCAGGGAAAAGTGCCGGGGGTGGTGGGGCTGGTGGGGAGTGTGGAGCGAACAAGGGAGTCACAGAGAGAATGGTCCCTCCAGAAAGCAGATAAGGATGGTGAGGGAAAAATGTCTTTGGTAGTGGGATCAGATTGCAGATAGCAGAAGTGCCGGAGGATGATGCGTTGGATTCGGAGGTTGGTGGGGGGGTATGTGAGGCCGAGGGGGATTCTGTTTTGGTTGTTATTGCGGGGAGGGGGTGTGAGGGATGAGTTGTGGGAAATGCGAGAGACACAGTCGAGGGCGTTTTCGACCACTGTGGAGGGGAAGTTGTGGTCCTTGAAAAACGAGAACATCTGGGATGTCCGGGAGTGGAATGCCTCATCTGGGGAGCAGATGTGGCGGAGGCAAAGGAATTGGGAATAGGGGATGGCCTTTTTGCAGGAAGGTGGGTGAGAGGAGGTGTATTCTAGGTAGCTATGGGAGTCGGTAGGCTTGAAATGGATATCGGTTTCCAGATGGTTGCCAGAGATGGAACAGAGAGGTCCAGGAAGGAGAGAGAGGTATCGGAGATGGTCCAGGTGAACTTAAGGTTGGGGTGGAAGATGTTAGTGAAATGGATGAACTGTTCAAGCTCCTTGTGGGAGCACGAGGCAGTGCCGATACTGTCATCGATGTAACGGGGGAAGAGATGAGGGATAGGGCCAGTGTAGCTTGGGAAGAGGGATTGTTCCACATATCCTATGAAGAGGCAGGCATAGCTTGGGCCCATGCGGGTACCCATGGCCACCCCCTTTGTCTGTAGGAAGTGGGAGGAATTGAAGGAGAAGTTGTTAAGGGTGAGGATGAGTTCAGCTAAACAGATGAGGGTGTCAGTGGAGGGGACTTGGCAGGATTAATGGCGGGATTCTTAGCAATGTGGAGGAACAGAGGGATCTTGGGGTCCACGTCCACAGATCCCTCAAAGTTGCTACTCAAGTTGATAGTGTTGTAAAGAAGGCATATGGTGTGTTGGCTTTCATTGGTAGGGGAATTGAGTTTGAGAGCTGCGAGGTTATGCTGCAGCTCTATAAAACCCTGGTTAGACCACACTTGGAATATTGTGTTCAGTTCTGGTCACCTCGTTATAGGAAAGATGTGGAAGCTTTAGAGAGGGTGCGGAGGAGATTTACCAGGATGCTGCCTGGACTGGAGGGCAGGTCTTATGAGGAAAGGTTGAGGGAGCTAGGGCTTTTCTCATTGGAGTGAAGAAGGATGAGAGGTGACATGGTAGAGGTGTACAAGATTCTGAAGAAGAGTCCCGATCCGAAACGTCAACTTTCCTGCACCTCTGATGTTGCCTAGTCTGCTGTGTTCCTCCAGCTCCACACTGTGTTATCTCAGGTTCCAATCTAAACCTTAAGCTGGAATTGAGTGTATATTTTCAATGTCTTAGAACTAAGTATAGTGCCAATGTGGGCAGAACAATGAAGTCTCTGTCAAAAAGATGCTCAATATATATTTAATATGCGTCCACAAACTTCCTTTGATGATAGACTGAGTGGTAAAAATACTGGATGAATGTAGATGGTGGCAAGAGACATTGTTCTTGATCATTAGAACAAAAGTGATTTTTAAAAAAGTCAGGTGAAGCAGCTTTTGTTTGTATTTCATTAAATATCAGCCAGGGACCTTGCTAAGTATATTGAGCATCTTTTTGACGAGACTTCATTATTCAGGGCCTTGCATTGTCCACAGTGCTGTAGAAAGATCTAAAATTGTGTTTTTCCTGAGTTTCTGGACAATGATGATGAAATACAGGATTTAGCAACAGAGATTCAAGTCCAAGCAAAGTGAAATAAAAGATAAACTGTCAGATATTTAATATTCCACCCAATGTAACACCGGCCTGCTTTTCCTTAGTGTTAAGATCTACTGGAAGGAATATTGGATGGGTTCTGCATGTACATTTTGTTGTCTATTTTACTGTGATGGAATACCTTACCCTGTTATCCTTCTGTCCACGCCAGGTGATGTGCCTTCAGGATTTCTTTGGTGATGATGACATTTTTGTTGCCTGTGGTCCTGAGAAGTTCCGCTATGCACAGGATGACTTTTCACTGGATGAAAATGGTAAGTTTCTTTTGGCACATACATTGAAGCTTGACTAAAATAAACCACAGATTGCGTTACATTGTCAGAAAAACCAAACAATTCCAAAATTGTGACAGTCACTGACCATACAGTGTAAAAACAAGGGAATGTTGCTGCACCTCTGCAAATCACTGGTCAGACCACATTTGGAGTATTTTGTTCAGTTCAGGGCATCTTATTTAAAGAAGGATGTTAAAACCCTGGAGCGAGTTCAAAGAACATTTATTAGAATGATACCAGGAATGAGGGATTTTAAATACAAGGGAAGATTAGAGACATTGGGCTTATTCTCCTTTGAGCAGAAAAGATTAAGAGATGACCTTATTCAGGTGGTTCACAATTATGAATGATTTTGACAGGATAAAGAAGGGTATTTTGCTTCCACCAGTTGTCTTTTTCAGAAACCAGGGGGGGTCACAATTTCAAGATTGTCAGCAAGAGAGCTAGGAGTGAGATGAGGAGAAACTTTTTTACTCGAGCAAGTTGTGAGGATTTGGAATGCACTGCCTGGGAGAGTGGTGGAGATAGATTCCATAGGAGGTTTCAGAAGTGAGCTGGACATAGATTTGAACGTGATGAAGTTAGAGGGCTATGCAGATAGGGCTGGAGAGTGGGACTAACTGCGTAGCTCTTTTGGGAGCTGGTACAGACATGATGGGTTGAATAGCCTCCTTCTGTACTGTAAAATTCTCTGATTCTATTACGCTATCAACTGTATCCCCCCCACAAAAAAAAATCAGCCATTCAAAGGGATGTATAAGTGAAAGGTAGCAGAGCTATTTACTTAATGGCTTGTATTTATGATATATGTACTTATTGCTCAATTGCAGCATTATTTCTTCACATAGATACAGTTGCAATTCATTCCAACTAACTGTGAAGTTGAACTTGGTTTGCAAATCCTAATTTGTAAGATATACTAGAATTCTTGCCTTCTCTTTCACATAACACAGTACCAGTTAAAAACCGAAAGAACTGCAGATACTGTAAATCAGGAACAAAAACAAAGTTGCTGGAAAAGCTCAGCAGGTCTGGCAGCATCTATGAAGGAAAAAACAGTTAACGTTTTGGGTCCGCTGACCCTTCCTCAGAACGGTACCAGTTAAAACTGTTCACGATTGCCTTAGCTATGTTTACTAAATCTGGATTATTTGAAATGTTTTTCACATCTGGATGCACGACTAATCTGCTGTGAAAAATATATCATGCTGCTACATGGATTTTGTTTTCCCCTGAGCTTTTCCCCAATTCTAAGCTGCTGTCTGATTTTGGCACAACATTTTGTAGGAATTGATAGCACTTTCAACTGACCACCCTCCCACGTGACCATTTTATGTACGTAAGCTAGATACTCTTGTGAATAATAACAGTAACTTTTACAAATTAGTCTCTCAACTGCCCTCACCTGATGGCCACTTCCTAGCAGGATTTCCTGAATAGTCATTGGTGGCAGGATTTGTTTTTTTTTGGGCTGCATTTGTTGCCATTGCAATTGCAGAGGGCACACTCATGGCCCATGCAGGCGCAGTTTCTGTGACAGGACTGTTGGCTATGCCACAGGATTTGTCTAATGGCTTCATACTTACATTTATGTAGCAGCCTTCTGCCCCTAAAATGCTTTGGAAAACTATTAATCCAGAGGAAAATTCAGAAAGAGCCCTTGTTGTCTTACTCACTGCCACACTCCCTTAATGAACTGGTGAAGCAGGCAACGAGTGATGTAACCAGCAGGGTAGCAACGGTGATAGCCAGCTGAAGGACATGGCTAGTGGGACACTGAGAAGATGCTACAACCAGTGGGTGTAATACCTTTAGTTCCAGCGTGGTGTGAGTGCACGATGATGCTATTAACATTACTGACTCCTGTTCAAATGTGTTGACAGGAAGCATCAGGTTTTTTCCTAATCTGAGAATGGCAAGATAAAGACAGCCCAAAATGCTACTGCCTTACCTTGTATTGGTCTTGGAACCAAAAGCTTTTTTGGTCTGTACCTTTTTGGTATCACTTCTATAGCGCTCAAGAATTTCCTTGTACATCTTGTGAGCAGAAATTCCATGGGAGTTTACTACTATAGTTCTTGTAAAGCCAGGTGAAATCCCAGAAAAACAGTGTACATATGTTTTCACTAGGTGTGGAAATTTTTGCCCAAGTTTCCTCTTTTTGCTTTGACCTTGCCATCTCCGGTAGCAGAATTGTATTCAACAACCTGTAACCTCATGGCCTGTCATATCTTGCACGCTACTATTACATTCAAACCTGGTTCAATGAAGAGTGCAGCAGGGTTTGCCAGTAATATCATCGGGCACACCTGAAAAGAGGGCTCAACCTGATAAAGCTATAACAAAGGAACACTTGCATGTCAAACAGCTGAAGCAGTGATAGACTGGGCTATTGTGAATCCCACAAAAAAAATGGATCAGATCTCAGCTCTGCAGTTCTGCCACATCCAGTTGTGTATGGTGGTGAACAACTAAATATTCAGCAAAGTCGGCAGCACCCGGGGAATCAGAAACATAAGTTAACATTACAGGTCAGTGACCTTTCATCACTTCTTTTCACCACACCAGAGAAACCAGATGGTACAGCAAAGGAAGGCAAGAAAAAAACCATTAATTATAATTATTTTGTGGTTTAGGAAGGAGCAGGAGTGCTTCTGCACTAAGTTGCTCCCATCTGGTGATCATAGACCCTCCATATGGAACCCTGTCTACCAAGATCTCTGATAGTGCAGGGACTCAGAGATGGTAATCTGCACTGGGCTGGCTGTTCTGCTGTTCTGCTGTCCAAACTGATCAGGGCATTTTCATGAAGGATGAACTGGTCAGGCTACTCATTCCACAGGCCACGTGCCTGATAGTAAACTCCACTTGAAACATTTAGAGTTAAAACTGAGGAGATTGGGGTTTGGCTTAAGCATCCTCTGTTGCTAAGAATTTTTTCCTCTACTGTATGTTGTACTCATTAATCATTGTAGTGAACCTAAAACAGAAGAAAGGTGAAGTTCCTTCTGTTACAAGAGATAGTAGGAACTGCAGATGCTGGAGAATCCGAGACAACAAGGTGCCGGGCTGGATGAACACAGCAGGCCAAGCAGCATCATAGGAGCAGAGAGGCTGACGTTTCGGGCCTAGACCCTTCATCAGAAATGGGGGAGGGGAACGGGGTTCTGAAATAAATAGGGAGAGAGTGGGAGCCGGATAGAAGATGGCTAGAGGAGAGGATAGGTGGAGAGGAAACAAACAGGTCGAAGAGGCGGGGATGGGGCCAGTAAAGGTGAGTGTAGGTGGGGAGTTAGGAAGGGGATAGGTCAGTCCAGGGAGGACGAACAGGTCAAGGGGGCGGGATGAGGTTAGTCAGTAGGAGATGGAGGTGCGGCTTGAGGTGGGAGGAAGAACAGGTTAGGGAGGCGGGGACGAGCTGGACTGGTTTTGGGATGCGGTAGCGGGAGGGGAGATTTTGAAACTTGTGAAATCCACATTGATAGCATTGGGCTGCAGGGTTCCCAAGCGGAATATGAGTTGCTGTTCCTGCAACCTTCGGGTGGCATCGTTGTGGCACTGCAGGAGGCCCAGGATGGACATGTCGTCTGAGGAATGGGAGGGGGAGTTGAAATGGTTCGCGACTGGGAGGTGCAGTTGTTTGTTGCGAACCGAGCGTAGGTGTTCTGCAAAGC